AGTCTGGCAAACTCCCTGTGGCATACCCAATATGCCAAATACCAGATGATGATAAAGCAATGATGGGTCTCATTCTTCTAACCCTGAATGAACCTTGAATATGGCACTTTTTAAAAGCTCAGGGCTAGGACAAAGGAGACATTACTGGTGCCTGCTTGAGGCAATCGACGAACAACAGAATGATGGTGATCATGAATGCCACCATGGCTAGTTACTCATTAAATATTTGTTAAGTAAATGAATTCCTTGGAAAATGCAGACCAAATCTCATTAAATCCTTATTCCTTTCTCCCCCCATTTCTATATTCTAGACAAACTGTCTCCTCTCATCTTTGGGCAGGACATTCTGCAAAGCAGAATCATAGTTTTGCTTATATTAGTTTATATTCTTCCATATGGTGATTCCAAGATAAATTTGTGAAGATGTTCCATTTATGTTACACACTTTTCTTGTGTAGCACTTCTGGCACCTTCTCTACTTAACTGACATTCCCTGGTAAGCTATCAACATTAACAATGTTTAACAATGGCAATTATTACTCCACTGTGCCTTAGTAATTCTACTTCCTAGGTAATGGGCAGTGCCTCCTGAAATACCATAATCTTTTTGGTTGGTTTGGTATTTGGGTGTTGATTTTTTTTTCTCCTTGCACATCATTTAGTGTTGCCTGATTTCTCAGTTTTTAGCTCCTCAGTCTGTTGACCAGGCTTGTAGGTTTCACCGTTTGGTTTGATTTCTGGTTTCCTGTTTATTTGTTGGTTTGGGGGTCACATAGTGCTGAGAGCTTAGTCCCGGCTCTGAGTTCAGAGATTATTCCTGGCAAGGCTCAGGGACCAGATGCAGTGCTAGGGATTGAATTTGAGTAGTCTGCATGCAAGGCAGATGTTTTACTGCTATACTATTTCTTTCACTCTGAATTGAGCTTGATTCTCTAGCCCTACCCCTAGACTCTAAGGACAAACCCATCTCTTTTGAATAATTCTCCCAGGCAAAAGCACTGGGTCAGAATAAATGGCAGAGAAGCCTGCTCTTTCCAAGAGTTGAAGCTAAAGGGAAAACTTGTCATCACAGGCTGGATAGGTAGGCTCTGGGGTGACACATGGAAGGAAACAGTCACCTCGTTTTCCTGCCTTGTTTGAATCTGGCAGAATTCCAGTTGGTCCCTCACCTGCCTCCGTCTCATTGCCCTTGGATATAATTATGATTCACTATATTTTTCCAAATAGTTTTATGAAATCATAAGGGAAAGGACTACTCAAAAATACAATTAAGAGTTGCTTTATGACTTGCTCATTTCTGTGGGACTTCTAAAACCTTTCTCCGTACTGTACACTCCATCCCTCGATCATTTCATTTCTTTTTCAAACAAAAATCATACTCTCACTGGATTGGAGGATAAGTTTTAGGGTGACAGAAATAGCCAGACCTCCTCAAAGGCCTTGATACTTTTTAGATTCAAGGAACCTATTTAGATTCCCAAAGTAAGTTTCATAAGGAAGAGCAATATTCCATACTGGGTTTCCTCTCTGCCTCTGCCTCAGCCTTTGTCTTTCTCTCTTGTTCTCCCCCATATTTCAACAAGCTGTAACCTGGTGTACCAGTTCTCAGAAGCCAGAAATATGACAAATATTCAGATAAGCCCGTGGAATTTAAAGCATGGGTCTACTGCTTTAGTGATCAGGATTCCAGAGCCTGCTTTACAATGTTAGGTGTGGCTTTCTTAAAAGTGCATCTGGCTCAGTGCAGTTAGCATCAAACACAGGGAAGATGCTAAACCATTATTAGAGAACCATTTAATACATCAAACTTGAATGTACTGTGACATTCCAATTCTTCGAAGAATATTGTGAGACTTAATGTAACGGACATTTAATACCTTAAACATTTTATTTTCCTGTTTAAGGGGATTAAGAAGTTAGCCTTTTGTGTCTGTGTGACAATGTAATGTAATGAACAGAACCTGGCGTTTGGCATGAGATTAATCTTTTGAGTCCAAATTCTGGCATATCTTGAAGATTATAATGTGTATTTAGAGTGTTGTGATAAATAACAGTGCCATCCCTAACACATGGTTGTGTCTGAGAATGGAAGGAAGAAGTGTCCTTCCTATTCAGCCTGATTCGTGTTGTCACACCAGGATTGGGGTTGAGGGGAGGGTTCTACAACATACTACAGAAGCATGTGGGTGCTGCTCTTTTTAGAGGCCAGAGAAAGGGAGATGAGACCCTGTACTTTGGCTGAGTCAGTGTTGAACTCCTCACGTCCCAAATAATTTTTCACTTCCCATGCATGGGTCCTTTTAAAAAACATATTTGCTCTACATGAAATGCTGTTCTGGATCTCATACACTGGTGTAAAGGCTGGATCTTCCTTCCTAACACAGACCCATTTGTTTTTTTCAAACGCCGGGGAGATGCCTGATGTCCAACAAAAAAACTCTGTAACTCACGAAGACGTCAGGGCCGGCCTTTCTCACTGGCAAAAGTTTCGGGGAAATCACAGGGAAATTTGTTCACCACATGATTAATCCTGAGTGGATTGGTCCCGGAAAGCACATGTGGGTTTTCAGCAAGCAGCAGCCTGCAGCAATTCTTAGACTAAACTCTCCAACTGAGAGGCCGAGAAATACATGTTTTGGATAAAAGTTCAGAGTGAAGGTGGGGCCTGAAAATCGTGGAAAATACCAGATGTGGGGACAACAGAGATCCTTTGAATCCACTAACATGCAAACTGACAACACAGGGGCTGAATTATAAAACCGAACTAGATTCTAATGCTAGATGAGAGAAACCCAGCGGGGTGTCCTATCCTCTGAGAAAGATAATAAAATTCATCACCATAATTACCCTCAACCTCACTCCTCAACAAGGGCTGACAGTAATTCAGCTCAATAAAGTTATTCATCCATATTCAAGTCACCTCACTCATTAATCCTCAGACAAAACCTCTTCTGGGCCTCAGCTTCTTGCCAGCAATCCAGCAACTCAGTATCCACACCCAGCCAGCACCCAGCGGGCCCTCTCCCCACTGGGTGTGGCTTCTTTCTTCAGCAATGCAGTTACCAGGAAAAATCTGCTCTTGCTGGAGAAGGCTGATTCCTCAGATCCCACTGCTCTTAAAGGAGGGATCTCTGTCTTTTGTGAACTGCCTTCATTCAGGTAAGATAGCTAGTGCTTCCCTGGGAGAAAGCAGAGGGAGTTCACCCTCACCCCACCCCCACTCCTACCCTTACTGGTGGCTGTCCATCCTTAGCAGGACTCGGATATGGCCCAATTTGCCTGCCTCCCACATCTTGCATGGGCAAGCACAGAACCATGTTATTTGCACATCGCCTCGCCAAAAAGGAAATGTAACCGAAACACAGAATTGTAGGATGGCCCGGGAAAGAGAAGTTCCAAAGATAGGACTACCACAAATAGTCCACAGTCTCTAAAATGAGTTCTCTTCGAAAGCAGACAGCCCAGAGCAGAGTCGTATAGATCGTTTCCTTGAAGGGAAGAGGTGGGGGTGGGTGATGGGTGGGTAGGTCTTGGCTAGGAATGAGAGAAGCTCAGGTTTGAGTCACGCCTCCCTCAAACCGCTCCCTCCAAGAATTCTTCAGGCACTCTTTGGATCCTGAGTGTTCTAAGAGTTTACCTTTTACAGCACAACTTAGCAACCTCTAATTCCAAAGATCACTAGTGAACTTACAATTCCTTCAACCAAGACAGGGAGAGCTCAGCTTTTATTTCACTTGGTTTGTTTGCACCCTACAGATTTAACATTCTTTTTAAAAAGCAAAAAACAAATAGGAAGTTTCTAGCAATTATATGGGGCAAGTTTGTTGACACTGTTTATCAACAGTTTAGATGATGGTTAGCACCTTTTTGCAAGATAGGAACATTGTGCGAAAAGTCTTTTTAAAATGAAAATATGTGCTTCTTTTCAGAAGTACTGTTTTTACATACTACAGTGCAGCGCAAACATAGCTTTCATAGATACTGGGAAGTCAAATACTCATGAACATGAGTTGCGGTGATATTCGCTTCATTAGCTGTGCTTCTGAAACCTGACCTGAGATGTCTCTGAGATGTGCGTGATTCAGTGAGAAACCACTAAATCACTCCACACATTTGTTTTGGCCCAGGGAGTACAAGGCAAGCTATCGCTGTGTCTTTGGGAACTTAACAGTCTGTTGGGGGGAAATAAAACTAATGAAAAACTCAAGGAAAGAAATTTTAAAACATGGACCCAAGTTCATGGACACCATCCACCCAGCACACTGAGCAAAAAAGAGACCAGGGAAAAGTGAAGAATAAAAAAGGAGGGGGGATGGGAAGGATGTAGTTGACCAGCAAACAACTATGTGGATGCAGTCAAGATCAGATCATACAGCCAAAACTTAGGGAATCAGCAGCCCCCAATCAACTTACACCTCAAAGTTCCCAAACATTCTCTAGAACTTCATGCTCCCCAGGCGTTCCTCCCGAAACACAGTCCTGCTAGGCAGGATCTCTGAGGTCTCTTCCAGTCCTGGCTCCAACCCACCAATCCGGAAAGTCGCATTCCACGCCCGATTTCTCCCAAGGCCATGTGGCAAGCTCTGGTACACAGAGGAGCAGCAGAGGCCAAGACCTGTTTGGGGAAGCGCCTAGCTGCGCACCTTCTTCCAACTCCTCTCACTTGGAAGCAGAACAAGTGTAGCAGGTGGGCTGCTCCCTGGAGGACGGACCCCTCTCCCCCCGCCCTACTCCAGACTGTTTCTCTGGGGGTTTGGACTCCTGCTGGCCCTTTAGCTCAGCTGATTCCTCGGGATCTGGCATCAGCTAAGCTGCTGGCCCTTCTCCCTCTGCCCTGGAGAGCGCGCACACACATACACACAAGCGCACACACATACTGGCACGTACATACCCTCAGTTCCCCTCTGCTGTCCTGGGCAACTTCAAATGCCAAGCCTGGCATTTTCAGCAAGCCGGGGCTCGCTCCAGCACCCGGAGGGAGCCGTTCAGCTCGCTCTTACCTCCTTCGGCCGCGATCCAGAGCGATGCGCTTCCCAAAAACAAGAGCAGAACTGGTCCCTTCCACATCGTCTTAGTTGATTTCTTCTCCGGGGCTCGTCTCTGGGCAGTGGGGGGGTGAGGGGAAGACGAAGAAGTCTTTTACCACGAACCCTCTGCTAGCCGAGTGTTGAAGAGGGGTGGGGAGGGGGGAGCTGGAATGCGGGGCGCAAAAGCCTTAGCGCGGGAGGGCGCCCCACTCTCGCTCGGTCCGCGGGAGCCGGAGGGGAGCGAACTTGGCAGTTGGGAACTTTGCGCGCTGGTGGAGTGGGCATTTATCTTGGCCGAGGAGGAGGGCGGGGAGCGCGGGCTGTAAGGTGGTCTCAGTCCTGGGCCCCTAGGACCGCCCTCTGCCTCTGTTTGGCCAGCGCCAAAACGATGACCTCAGGCCAGGTTTAAAGTTACAGGGCCGCAGCTGCGGGGGCTGCCAGGGCTTGCGGAGGCCGCCCGCCCCAGGCAGAATTGGCAGGGATACTGTCCCCCAGCTGGACTGGGGGGAGGGGAGGGGTGTGGCAGGCAGTCAACGGTTTATTATCCCCCCTCCCTCCAATTTTAAACTTTATTATCGTGTTTTAAGAGTAAGGCATAAGTCTACCGGTTTTTTTTTTCTTGGTTGGAGAAGCAAAGTGTGACTTGTGTGGCCGCAAGCATCCCAGCACCAGATTGTGCTTGTAAATATTGAATTGGATGGCTTCAAAACAAAACCAGTCCACCGAGCAGCGGTCCTCCTCTGGGTGGGCGGGAAGAGGCCGGTGTGAAGTCAAGGGTGTTTTGCCCTGGTGAGGATTGGGGGCTGCCTGAGAGGGTGTCCTGGCTGGTAGCTCGGCAGACCTCAGGGCCCAGGCAGTTTAGGGGAAAAGCCCAACTCCAGACCCGCCTGATTTGGGGCATCTAAAGGCAGGGTCAGGACAGTCGAGTGCTCTGGACATCAGAATGCTCCCAGCTCAGGCTCCCAGCTCAGGCTCAGGCCCTTGAAGCCTCTGGTTGGGTTCCCTAACATGCACTTTATCTGTTTAAAGTAATCTCTGCTCTCAGAGAGATATTAACAAGGAGACACTTTTCTTCTCTTTTCTTTCTTCTTCTTCTTCTTTTTTTTTTTTTTTGTTTACCTCAGTTCCTTCTGAACCACTGGAATGTAAGGGTTTTTGTTTTTTTTTTTTGAAGACCTGAGGAGGTGACCTTCTTTTTTTCCACTCCCCAAATGCCACAAATTCCAACAGAGGATAGAACCTGAGGGTCAATACCTCATTCTAGAGTGAATGCTCATTTTCAGTGTCATAGTCCTGACTCCGACTCTACGTTTGCTTCGGAATAAGATTCTTGTGTTTGCGAGGTTCAGACTCCTGGATTTCACCCCCACTCACTCCATGAGTCACGTTGGGAATTCCTATTTTAGGCCAGTGTCCCTGGACAGGGAGGCACAGGTAGTCAGCCTTACTCCTGGCAGTGCTTTTCCAACAACTGCCTGTGAGAGCACCTGGGGTGCTGTTGAAATGTAAGCTGGCAGCTAGAGACTCAGCCTGAGGGAGAGCTTCCATTTCTAAAGATCTAGGAGGTACTGTATTAGTTGTAAGAGAAAGGCTCAGCTCCCACAGAAGGAGAAGAAGGACCCCAGAAAGCCAAGGAGTTGGGAGATTCTCTGTTCCCCCAGATTGTTAATATGTTTCCAGTATCATCAATATATGATGGGTATCGCTGAGCCTGTTGGGGGGAAAACAGATGTTACGGCTGCTCCAAAATATAAAAAGAAAGAAAAATTTGGGGGAGAAGGACATCATAGACTACCTTCTCTTGGAGATGAGTGGAGATGAGCTCAACCCTCAGTGCCAGGACATAGATCACTATTCAAAGTGATGCCCTTCTAACTCCTTTCTCCCCTGATCCCAAATCCCGGTATCTAGTCTACACAGCTGGTCACCTGATTTCTGGAAAGGGGTGGAAGAGAGGATATCAGTGAAGCCCCTCTGGGACTGGGGGAGGTTCCAGATGCTATTATCCAGGCTGTGGTATTAGGGAGAGCAACTGGGCTTGACAGTAGGACCAGCCTTACAATGCAAACAGCAGAGGGGACAGAGGGGACAGAGGAGATTCTGGCACTGAGCAGAGGGTCAATGCCAGGTCACACTGCTTGGCAGTAATATAGGGGTAAGAAATTGCAAGACTGAGACCAGCCCAGGTAAGGAGGAGGAGGGAACCAGCGGAGCACAGGTCAGAGGTTTTTCCATTTTGGTGGAGGGGCTGAGCACCTAAAGATTTGGCCAAGGACACATGAGAAAATGGCTCTACATCACTAATCATCAGGGAGATGCAGATCAAAACAACGAGATATCATCTCATACCACAGAGACTGGCCCACATCCAAAAGAACAAAAGCAAACGGTGTTGGCGCGAATGTGTGGAGAAAGAGACTCTCCTTCACTGCTGGTGGGAATGCCAACTGGTTCAGCCCTTTTGGAAAATAGTATGGATGATTCTCAAAAAACTATAAATTGAGCTTCCATTTGACCCAGCAATACCACTCCTGGGAATATATCCCGGAGAGGCAAAAAAGTACAGTCGAAATGACATCTGCACTTCTATGTTCATTGCTGCACTGTTCACAATAGCCAAAATCTGGGAAAAACCCGAGTGCCCGAGAACAGATGACTGGTTAAAGAAACTTTAATCTACACAATGGAATACTATTCAGCTGTTAGAAAATATGAAGTCATGAAATTTACATACAAGTGGTTCTACATGGAAAGTATCATGCTAAGTGAAATGAGCCAGAAAGAGAGGGACAGACAAAGAAAGACTTCACTCATCTGGGGAATATAAAGTAACAGAATGGGAGTCGAATACCCAAGACTAGTTGAGATAAGTACCAGGGGGTCTGCTCCAGGGCTTGGAAGCTGGCGGCACATGCTGGGGAAAAAGACAGCTCAGTCAGAGATGGGAACCCCAAGTAAAGGATGTTTGGAGGACTCCCTTGGGATGCGAGATGCATGCTGAAAGTAGACTATAGATCAAACATGATGGCCACTCAATACCTCTATTGCAAACTACAAGACCCTGAAGGAAAAAGTGAGCAAAAGGGAGCATCCTGCCACAGAGGTGGGGGGGGGGATGGGGTGTGGGGGTGGGAGGGCTACTAGAATCTTTGGTGGTAGAGAATGCGCACTGGTGGAGGGATGGGTACTAGATCATTGTATAACTGAAACCCAAGCACGAAAGTTTGTAAGTCTACAACTGTACCTCATGGTGTTTCACTAATTTAAAAAAAAAAAAAGATATGGCCAAGGTGACTGCAGTGCTATTTACAGCCTTTTCCCCTGAAGGCCTCAGCTCCACTATCACAACAAAGCCTCCAAACCCCCTTTGGGCTAACACTGATGATTTCCACTTGAATACTAGGAAATAAGTTCTGAGCAGAGGCTTTCAAAGCTAGAGTGATGGGGTGTGGGAGCCCCAAGGCATGTTGGGTGGATTGAAATTGAATTGGCTGAGTGCAAAGCAAGTGTCCTACCTGTTATACTATCTCTCTGGCCCCTGTTTCTGCTCCTCTAATAACATGGGTGTCCTGACCTCACTTTAGAGCACTTTTAGTCCTGGGACTCAATCTTTTGAGGCTTCCAAGCACCCATCTGATCACTCAGCCTCAGCTCCAGCCTGTAGGCTAAAAGTTCTTAACACAGACCCAAGAGAACTGGGTCCCAGATGATAGGAAATTCAGATGCGCCAGCCTATAGGGCTTGGCATCCTTTCTGCTTGCCAGTTCCTCCTCTGCTAGCCAAACCCCAAATTGGGGCATCATTAGGATCCTAAGAGCCCCTATCTCCTTTCCTGAGCCAAAGGCTCCCTCTGTGATACCAGACTGGTTTCCAGTCCCAGGAGTGCTCTGTGCGAGAGGCTGGCTCCTGGCATTCATTCCACAAATAGGCAGCAGATTTCTGACTTGGATTTCTGACCCACTGAGCTGTCCCTCTTGGCTGAGAATCTGACCTCTGGTCTCCCTGAGGTCTCCACAAATGCTGACTGCCCTATTCTATGTTCAGAGTCACACTTCTCTGCCCCATGTCAGTGGGCAGCATATAATTTTGCTTGTAGACCCTAAAGGAACTTTGAAAAATGAGGCACTGTCATCCCAGGAAAATCCCAGGAACAAGTGAATAGAAAAGAGGAGCTTTATTGGCAGTGAAGCAACTGAAGTTGAGAAGGATGTGCACAGCGTAGGCTGCTGAGCAGATCCAAAGATAAAGGATGGGGCGGGGGAGCAACAACACAGCCGCTAGGGCTCTTGACTTGCATAGTGACCCGAGTTTCATCTCTGGCACCCTATACGGTCCCCTGAGCTCCCCAGAATCCATCCCTGAGTGCAGAGCCAGGAATAAGCCCTGAGCACCACCAAATGTGGCCCCCAACAAAAAACAATAAATAAATAAAAATAAATAAAGATGGGGGTGGTGGGTAAGGGGAAGTTTTTTTTTTTTTAATTCCCAGCAGAGATAGAATGATTAACAGCTGACACATTCCAGCAGATTTTAAGGACACTCACACATATTCATGAGGGAAACACCAAGGATTCACCACTGAGGAACAGCCAATGAACATTTGTTGCATGTCTAGGAACTCTCAGAGAACCCTTATGGGGGTGTGTCTTTTAGATGATAAGGAAGAGCATGGACAGAGGCAAGGTGGGGGGGAGGATGGGGGGGAGGGATATGCTGGGACCCATGGTGGTGGAGGATGGGCACTGATGGAAGGATGGGTACTTGATCATTGTATAACTGAAACCCAAGCACAAAAATTTGTAAGTCTATAACTGTACCTCATGGTCTTTCACTAATAAAAAAATTTTAAAAAAAAGAGCATGGAGGTCAAATGTTGAGGAGGCCTCTAAAATGATCTCCGCTGGCTGGTCCGATCCAACCAGGGGCCTGGGTCCCTGTCAATGCAAAAGTGTTCTAAAGATTTCACTTTGGCTCAAACAGAGCCACAGAATATAACACAGGGCAGCTTCTCTCAGAGAGAGGTGATCACGCCCTCTATACTATAAGCCTCAGTCTTGTTTTAGCTTTTCCTACCCCCAGAGAGTTCTACTAAATTTTGGC